TACATTCCTTTTTCTGCTGGACCCAGGAATTGCATCGGTATCAGATTTCCAGAACAAATTTCTAAGAATTGGGTTGAAACAGATAATATCAAGAAAAGGTGGTCTGTGGTGTTCTTTTTGAAGGGGAGAATTTAATCGATAATGAAATGAAAAATTTATAATTGTGGAATGGAAAGATGCTTTAAAATTGCGAGCATAATAAGAGAGTAAAATGAATTTAAAATTTGTTGAATCGCTTATACATTCGAGATAAGGTGACAGATCTCTTTTACAGGACAGCGATTCGCACTTATGGAAGAAAAGTGCATTCTGGCATTGCTGATGCGGAATTTGAAAGTGAAATCGAAATTGCGCACCGATCAGATGCGTGTGTCCGCTGAACTTGTGATTCGACCATTGTTTGGCAATAACATACGATTTGAACCGCGAAAATTCGGGGATTATGTGCAAATTGAATAGGCACGATATTTCAGATTCTCTTTCTGCTAATACTTAACAAATACTTCGTATCGAAAGCTTGAATAACTCACAACGTGTTGGATGCAAAAAGTTTAGGGTCAAAACACTCTTTCCCTGCACATTCATCATTTTTATGGATTTTCCAAACTAAGGTGGCTCGCATTGATATTATAAATGCTTAAATGCGGTCATCACATCGATATCGTTCGGAACTAAGCTTTATAGGCTTAACTGTTATTTAGCCATGCAAAGTGCATCTGTTCTTTGATTTAAAGTTGGCGCGTATTAATTGTATTGTAGCGTCATCATCATAATGTGTTTTTCGTCAAAATGTGTAATAAATAAATAATTTTCTACAATAGTATTTCTGAGTAATTTATCTGATATCAACATTTATATTTGGTTGTAAGCATTTTACTACGATGGAATTCAGATTACATGTCATTCAGCAGTCAATTATTCAAGAGTTCCATTTGAAGGCTTCCAGCGTTACTGTGTTTGCTTTGAATACAGTCTTTTTTTAAGAACAGAAAAACTAAAAATAAACTGTGTAATTTAAAAACGACACCTTTCCTACAAGCATAGATCGTGTGAATTGGGGTGATCCGGTGAAACATTGCAATACTGTCCTAAGGCATATGACAATCAACAAGTAAGGCCAGATGTTCAACTAGAGAATTAGATATATCAACTAATCAATTTACAAAAGTTAAAGAAATGATTAATTTTATCAGATAAAGAGGGATAAAATATTCTCCTGCGCAATGCACCATTGTTGTAGAAGTTTGAAGCGATATATATGAAAAACAATATTCCGCCATACCTTAATCAATCCTTTGGCCGTGCTGTCTTTTCTTGCTTCGGAGAAAAGCAGCACGGCGCGAAAGCTGAAGAATTTTCATGGGTGGGGTATTCAGTGTCATTCTACTACAAGTTGTGTTCGAGATTCTCGCTAGTTATTTGGGGGGGGGGTTAAGGGATTCTTCGTAATAACAGGGCTTATGTGAGAAAAGTAAAAGTGAGAGTCGATTCTAATGTGCTATTGCTAGTCTTAGTTATACATGACATCATTTCACACGTTTATAGAGGTGTGTAGTATGAAATGACATAAACTTTGTTATTACTCTTATAACTATCATCATCATTTTTCTTATTTTGTCGTTCTGTGTCTGTTATGTTTGTGGCAAAAATGCTTGTAAATGGTACATAAATTTGAATGATTTCGAATATGCACATATAGATACACAGGATGAGATGAGGAGCGCAGCAACGGCACATTCGATTTCCATCAGTGGTTTATCGTCGACATCTTCATCGTCTTCCTCATCCCCATCTTCCAACTCTTCAACATCAGATATCACTGATCTCTCCAAAGAAGTAGGGATTTTAATAATTTTGATCTTTATATGTATATTTTTCAATGAAATCAACCTCATCAAAAATCAACCAATTTCAATCATTTATTTTCCAATTTCAGGGCGAATAATGTTTTCCTGTTGTAGGCATTTACCAAGCATCACTTCACAAAATGCGCGGAATTACTGAGAAAAGCTTTGGATGAAACTAAAGATGATGCCGAACGACGTCGTTTGTATGCCAATTTAGCTCTCTGTGAAGCGAAGAGCAAAGCACAGTTATATACTGCTAGTTACCAGACTGAGCTTCTCAATATTTTTCCCAAAGTATGTGTTTCTACTTGATTTTACAATTCATCTTATATGCGTTGTAATGCTTCAGTGCTTATAGCTTGTTTAAAATGGAATGCTTCCACTTAATATTTTAGCTGAAACCCGGTGGGGATTACAATTTAGATGATAATGACGAAGCAGTTGCTGCATTCAACCTAGCACTAAATGCTTTTGTTCGAGGAAATCGGCGAACTTGTCTCGAGATTCTGCAATACGTGATGAATTCTGCAATACGTGATGTTAATACTTTATCAGGTTAGTTTTTTTTTTACTTAGGCAATTATCAACGTTATACTAAATGCCTTCCTCACTTTATGACGCTGAAATCCGAGAAAAATTTTTGAATGGTTTCAGATACACTCTTTTGTGCCGTTTCGTTATTGGAAATTGAAGTAAGTCTAACTTTATGTCAACCAAAATTAGCACTGAAGCAAGCAATCAGACTTCGTGATAGCACTACATGGCGTCGAGCAAACTTTGTTCAGCGTGATTATCTTGCTTGTTTGGAGTGCCGTATACGGTGTCGCCTTGCACAGACGTCATCGTTGATCGACTTTACTTCGAAACCTGAGGTTGCGTTTCTCCTTATTATCTTCATTTTGAAAAAAATCTCAGTTCTTTACAATTATTTTGAGTTATAGTTCTTGCACTGGTGCCTTGTCCAATCAGAGTTTGATGTAAAGAATGGTAATGCAACACGCGCGGTAAATCGACTCTTGAAATTCCGTCCTTCGCTTCAGGTAGCTTAAAACAAGTTTCGTTTTTTTCTTTCTTCAGTTTAATAACAGTTTTGAACTGTCGTTGTTATAACAAGTTTTTACTAAAACGTTTCTCTCAATTATTTAAAAAAATGCGGAATATTTAATATAAATTATTATTCAATTACTTTCTTGTAGATAAAAAAAATATATCACTTTCATCTATTATATAACATGAATTCAGGATGAAGAACGCAGACTTGTAGATAATGCGCTTGGATGCGTTTACGCTTTATCGCTAAAGAAGATAAGTTTGGCTGAGTCATATTTTCGATCGGCAATGTTGGTAAGGCAAGAAAGAAGAAAAAGGTTCGTCTTTATCTGCAGTGTCGGTATATATTCGGAATAATGATGATCGTGATTAATACAAAGTGAAGTGGTTTAGCAGACTACGCATTACTGGATTTTTTTCGTATCATGGAATAAGTATTATTCTTGATCTTGCAAATCATTTCATTACGAATCTCTAATCGTTACAGTTTAAATTAACCTACTTAAATATTTTTCATTGGTACAAATATATTTGATATTCTGATTACTTTAATATAAGTGTTAATATTTGTAACTTTGAAGTATGAAATCGCAATACTTATAAGCGAAAAAAAAATTTTTTTGTTTAGTTGTTGCCATTTTCACACCACATGAATTATATCTAGCCGAATATAATTATCTGTTGGAGGAACTCATCAATTTGGAATCCATTTATTACCAAATAGAATTTTGGATTTAATTTTCTTTGTATCTGTAGTTGGCAGGAATCAACAGTACCCAGACATTGCTTGATATATCACGCAGCTTTGGCCCAGTTGCACTGTGGAAATGCGGAATCTGCCTTTACACTTTTCCTTTCTATCCTTCCATTTTATCCAAAACAACCCCGAATTTGGCTGCGAATTGCGGAATGTTGTATATATGCATTAACAAAGGTTCATTTGTATATTTTTGAGGTGTCTTTTTCGAACTAATGGAAATTCTCAAGATGCCAGTTTGTATTTTCCTTACATGCCTATTTGTAACAATTTGCATTTCCTTTATTTACATTGATTTTGCAGTTCTCACTCCCTTTTCTTATAGATGTCATGCTTCTTGCATTTTATGTTCTTTTGTTTTGTAGAATGGAAATGATAGCGTGGATAAAGGACAAACGATAGAAATTGTAGGAACGGCACAGAACAGATATGCCATCCTTCCATCTATCAGGGGAAACAAGTAAGTTTTTCAATTATTTTTTTGAGAGAATAAGTCATATTATAATAAGATCCAAATTTTAGAGTAGATTTTCTCAGTTGTCATTTTTACAGAAAAACATTTTCGCATATTTTTGACATTTTCGCATATTTCTTGACCAAGTAAATCTTTGTATACATTGGAAGAGTAATTTGTAAACAAATATTATCATTAATTTTGATCAAATTACAACTGTTCATACTAAGTAAATTAATGGATTATTTCTGAACTGTGATTATCTTCCAGCTGTAGTAAAGAAGTCGATGAGGTACGAGAAAATCAGATTAGTTGGGAATTTGCTGCACACTGTATTCGAAATGCGTTAATTCTAACAGGCACTGAGCGGGATTGCGTATATTTGCTTCCATGGTTATATGCAGCATCATCCTTCATTAATCTGAATCTTGGTCGTTATGGTTTAGCACTGAAGGCAGCTTGTCAGCTGGCCAGTTTACAACAAGTTTCTCCTCATCACAAGCTTATGGCAGTGCTTTTTAAAGTAAACTTTTGATTTTTTATATAAGACCTATATGGCTTTTATAAATCTGATCGGCTTATAATTCAGAAATCTTGGCAACTTATGATCAAAAAAAAAAGTTTGCGTAGATGGTTTGTTTTTATTGCACAGTTTGAAATGGGTGTGTATTGGCTACTCTTTATCATTTTATGATTAACGATGGTTTATAAAAAACTCTACAGATCTCTTCTGTTATATTAGAAATTTTGTAGGCAGAAGCACTCATGTTGTTGGATCGTTTACCAGAGGCTGTAGGATGTCTGACACAAGCTGTACCACTCCAATCCATGCCGAGCACGATGTCAGCTGTTATCTATAATAGAGCATTGTTACAAGCGTTGAGTGGCAATTTCCATAAATCATTGGCAACCTTTGGGCTGGTATCTTTTATATGAATTTCCGGTTAATTTATTAATGGCACATATAACCTACCTAAGCCTGCTTTTATATCTTTCGAGTTATTGAGCTTTTTCACACACACTTAAGATTGTTTGATGTTTTAACATTTAGAAAATTTTTGAATCTTTTCCAATCTTCCCTATTCATGTGAAGTACATACACATATATTTCTTTTCATTTTAGCTCGGAACACAATGCGATATAACAACAATTCCGGAAGCATTATCCCTCGGTGTTTATATTAACATGAAATTAGATAAGGACGATGAGGCAAAACATCTGCTTCTGCAACAAATACAGAAAATGAAATAAGTTGAGATCGTATGAAAATTGCTTTCACTGAATATTTTAGGATTTGTTAACTGTAAATAGCTATACCAAGTTATCAATTAAAACTTGACCTACCCTCAATTAATAGTAATAATTCAATAAAATTATTAAATTCTATGAATGAATGGATGCACAGAAAATAGTGATATGTATCGCTTTATTTTCTTACATTTGGAGTTGACCTTCATTATGAACTACATTGGAATTATTTCTGGACTTTTTAACAGCACTATCCGCTGCATTCTCATTTTATATTAATTTTTGAACTTGTTCCACCTACCAATCTACGATACAGTTACGCAATATATTTGAAAGTTCATTTGAGCCATAAAATAAATATAGAAGGAGGTGCGATTTACAAAATTAATATTATGCACTAATTGGATAATCTCGATCCAATAGAAAATGACAACAATGGGAGCTGACCATGTAAGCATCCTTCATTTCTGGACGCCGTACGTCAAAAAAAATTATGAAGTTCATTTAGAGAGAATCCGTTTTATCCTTATACCAAACAAAAGAATTTTTTACTGTGGTCTACATCTAATTTAAATTTAAATTATTTTGAAAAAATAAGTGAATCTGAGCGGAATTTGTTTTGAAGTACATAAAAATAAGCACAAATGATACAGAAATCTTCAGAAATGTGGGACTGCTACTATTAACGCCTGGTGAGTTTCGGAATATAGATAATAGCACTGTTGCAACTTACAATAAAATGGTCTTGCGAAAAGAAAGAGGGCATGGCGTCCCTAAGACTTTCTTTTTGCAAAATAATGGCCAAAGCCATTATTAACTTGACAGCTAAACATATGCGTCCATTACTGACAAATGAATTATCTTAAGCTTGAAGGAGCGAAATATGACTGGACATGCAAAAGAAACTAATTATTTTGAGGATTTAATTTTTCTACTTTTCTGCTGCAAATCAAAGAGGCAATGAGAAACACTTTTACCTAAATTAACTGCACTGGAAAATATTGAAAAACACTAAGAACTAAGCTGGAAACATTCTACCGAAAAGAGCGAATGTCTTGGTAGCTATTAACAGAACCATTTATAACCTTTTTACAAGCTGTGCCTGTAAAATTAATTAATTAGCAGGACTGAAAGCTCTGAAATCCATTTTCAATCTTATAGCTGCCGATTTTGGAACTGATAATGGCATTTGTTCACACTTTCCTGCACCGCGTTGTGTTTGCTGTGCGGCTGCTGTACGATTGTTTTGATGTCGTATGGATCCTTCAATCCTGTACAAAGACAGTATCAGTTTCGATATCATGAATTTAAGCAAAAAGCTTAGAATTAATAAATGAAAAATAGAGAAAATTGGAGACATTTTGGTTCTAGCTATTAGAAACGTCGAGGAAAGATAGAGTTCTAAAAACATGAAAAAGGTTTTGAAAAAAAAAACGTACTTCGATTTGAGCACTGGAAAGCACAACAACACTTTTTTGAATTCTTCCGGATAGGCAGGACCTATTACATTCAATCTATTAAGTGCATAATCGTGCAATTTACGTGTAGATGCCGGCAGTTGTCGATAGTACATAATTGGATCTTCACATAAAAAAGTGCCTAGCAACTGGATAATAAGATTTACAATTGGCAGTTCTGAAAATTCAAATAAGAGAAGAATAATTTTTTTCTGAGACTGCAATTGAATCGCTTGATAAATAAAATTAAACTTTAATTAGTTTACGGCATAAACAATAAACTTAAACTACAAAACAACATATCCCATATTTTGGAGTTTCAGTGTCTTTGTTTACTTCTAATGAGTACAGACCCAAACAGTCAAAAACCAACGTTTCTTTTGATCAGCCACCAAAAGGGCAACTTCTAAAATGCGTACTGCTTCTTGGACAATGACCACCTCTTCCGATTCTGGAATTTCTGCACTCCCCTTCAAAAAACTTGCCACAAACGGTCGAATTCTATTCAGTACTTTAGGAACAAGTTCTGCGATAAATGGATGACATATTTCGCGTCGTCCGAAAATGGAAGCCAGGCTTTGCATACATTTAACCACTACCTTTAATCCAAAGTTTCGAAGGTGAAATTTTATAATTTTTAGAAACTGTATGATTAATCCAGATATCACCGTATCTTTTTTGATATGGTTTAAAAGTCTAGATATGAATTTCAACCAACTGCGTAAAAGAAAATCCGTAGAAAATATTTTTTTCGAAAAATTGCAGGGAAAAAGTATCTCATTTACCTGCTTATGTTCACTTTCCAAATATGTTTGGAATAACTTGCATATTCTTCCCAGAAGACTGAAGTTACCCGTAACCAATTCAGGTGGTGATGAAGTGATAAATACTGCAACTGCTAACATTATCACTGCACCATCAACTTTCGAATCTGCAAAAGATTATGTATTCAAACTATCGCCTCATACTGATTTCAAGAAATATTTTAATTTTGTGTGAAAACAAAATAAAGTAGTCTACTCAAAAAATATGGAAGAGAAAAAATATTTAGAATTTAATCATCAAAAAACTATATCAATCTCTGAAACATGTGTAAGAAGGGAAAAGAGCTCAACAAGTTATAAGGACAAATAATTCAATAAGTTAAAGATGCAGACAGCTCAATAAGTGCACATGTCGAGGTACAATTTCCTCAATATATACCTTCAGCCATATTAATCAGTGAAATCAGAGCACTTTTCATTACTGACATCCATTTTGAAAATGTAGAATCAATTGGAGCCGCGGTCAGCAATGCTTTCAATGCCTAAATAAGCATATCACAAAACGTATTTACTAGATAACGATTGAAAAGCAATAATTACACAGATATGTAGAAAGGAAAAGAAATGAAATCAAAAATATTATGCTCCAAAGAGCGCTATCTTATCCAATAAAATTAAAAATAGTGTTTCAGCAGTAGTGAAAGATATAACCTGCATGGCTGTAGCTGCAGCGATAGAAACATGCCCAAATGGAACATCAGGAACTAACTGCTCCTATAATAATTATTTTATATATATTACAGCTTACTGTAAGCAAATAAAGATGAAGAAAGTAAAAGATAGATCAATATCGACTGCTATGAATTCCTTGTACGGAATTACACAATAATTGAATAAGAATTTTAGATTTGTGAAGATACCTTGTCCATGAGAGAAGATTCATGTAAAACTCCCAAAATTAAGTATAGAATGCTTGGAAGAACCACAATAACACCATCCGATGAGCAAAGCATTGGAATACGAATGAGAATATTGAGACCCATCTGCAAAATAACAGTTCCGTAATTCTGACATTGCTTATATGCGCCGAAGCAGAGTCCATGAAAGAAGCAGAGTTTTTGTCAAAACAAAAAATAGGCGTAAAAGGAGAAGTTTTGAAAAGATGGAAAAATGATCTAAATTTCGATAAGAATAATGGATTGAGTATTACAGTTAAATATTAGTCGCAAATATAAATCTGCTTGCAAAAAAAGTCGATATCAAACGAATTTCTATATAAAAAATTTACTTTTATGAGACTGTTTGATTCAACCGGAAGACGAGAATACCTCCGGTAATGAAGTGGGGCTGCTGATTTACTTTTCATCAGTGCTGAGTTGATTTGCGGAATCTGCAAAGATTATCAAAAATATATTTTTAAAATAATTATACTGAATTTGTTATGTCGATACTCAAAAAAAGCTAATTCAAAGCTGAATATTTTAAAATAACTGTACTAAATTTATTATATCGAGACTCGAAAAAAAGCTAGTTCAAAGTCATGGAGAACTGTCGAAAATGGAGTCTGGGAACATGCCTGTCTAACCAAAAGACAAAGAGCGACTTCCAAAACAGCAAATGCTAAAGAACTTGCAGGTTGTAGACCATCAGCCGTTCCTTCTGCTCCTTTATAGCCCTCCTTAATTGCATTTTTTTGTTCCGAAATGTTATTTTCATTATCTGAAATTTAAAAAATTCTTGTATTGAAAATTGAAAATTAAAAAATTCTTGTAAAATTATGCAGAAATTTCAAACCTTTATCATCATCGTGGAGTGTTATCGAGTACTGCGCAGCATCAAGAACTGTCATTACTACGTCTGCACAAAGCTGCTGAGTTCGCAAATTTTCCCGAGTCAAAATAAGCCTGAAAATGATATAGTAACAAGGACTGCAAATAAAGAATCATGAGAAACAGTAATTTTCAGAAATTACGTTAGCAAATGATAAATTAAATTTTCTAGCCCTCTCACCAATACCGGAATGCACAATGCATAGATATTATTTGACAGTTTTCAGGAACATGTGCAAAATAAGATGTAAACTGATTACCTGTAAAGTACATTTACCACTTCTATTGCTAATTGAATATTTCTCATTAAAACTCTTCGTGACCAATTGCAAGCCAAAAGATTCCTCAATGATCGCAGACAAAGCTGAGAAAAATGAAACGAAATATATGTCGACGTATGTGTAAAAATTTTCGCAATGATGAGTAAACTACAAACAAAAAAGAGAAGTGAAAAAAAAAATATTTTCATGATTAATTCAACTTACCTGAACGGTTAAATCTCCCACAGAATGTGCACGATTTGAACAAAGAGTTTCAATGCATATTCCTAGCATTATATAAAAATGAGTTTCTCTTGCCTTATCTGTCGTGATATTCTGCAAATTTTGGAATAAAAATATAAAAATTCAAAACTAAGTAGTAGAAAACATATATTGTTCATAACATATATTGTTTAAGAATAAACCTCCATATAATCGCAATTTTGTTGAAGTTCAAAATCATTCTGCTTTAACCATGTGCAGGCAGCAAGCAATATTGGAGGCCAACTAGCTCGATAATGTTCCTTGCAGAACTGTAAACAATGAGAATAATGAAAACAAAAGGCACTTTTAGAACATACGGATGCTTACTGTGAAGAGGAAACATAGTAATGATTAGATCTTAAATTTATCAGTGTTGGAACTCACATCTGCACACTCGGCGGTGTAGTACGTCCCACCTTTTGGTGGTAACTGGGACTTGAATTCAGGCGGAAGTGAAAGGAGAGCCGAGTCACGTAAGGCTGCTAACCAGAAATTAATTAACGAATTGAGCTCGGGAGAAACCAAGCTTAGCAAGCTTTCTTGCAAATAGCTGCACTTATCTTCATCTGCAAAGACAATTTTTTAACTCAACTAGGCATGTTTTTACATTTTCAAATTCCATTGTAGTTTAGAAATTCAAAATTGATAATTACGCGCTTTATAAACTATGTTGGAGAGCTAATATACGTAATTAGGTCTTAATACATAAAAACTCGTTGCCTTTAAATCACAGTTATTTAAAACAGTTATTAAAAGCTGCTTATAATTCACTTTGTATTTGAGCACACTAAAAACAAATAGTATCTATATATCAAAAGTAAACAGAGGAGTGCAACCTACTTTTCATCGCAGTAACATCCGTAACATTTTTCTGCTTTTTTTGCTCAACAGCAACAATGTAAACTTCTGCCCAAGCTTTTAGAATTGCCAATTTTTCTAAAGTTGCAGCACTTTCGCTATAAAGTTGCGTATTGATTGAGCCATGAGTTAGTTTGCCAAGGGATGAAACCAGAAGCTAAAAAGAAAAGAAATTTTACGGCATCAAATTTATTTTTTTCTGTAATATTGCCAAATCTCGATAATACAATGCAAATGGTTTCAGCGTATTATTTCAGCGCCATTGTGTTTCTAATAAAGCTTACTTAATGAATTTATGAACTACCCAAAAAGTGATGAATTGTAAGTCAACAATTTTTAAATTATTTTACGAATAAAGAGAAAAATTGAATTACCAGAAATATCACGCTCTGTCAATAACCTGAAAATTTGTGTATGCAAAAAATCAATTCAGAAATAAGAAACATCATTACATGATGAACCCGTCGCAAATCATTTAGATCTCGAGCAACACCACTGCCGATCCAAGTGCTACATACTTGGCAGGCAGCAGCAGTAACATCACTAGGAGTATCAGCTGTAAATGCCGGTCGCAAAGCTGCACCTACCTAAAACAGTGAATCTAAGATGTGGAGCGATTTCTGGACAAAATTACTTTCTGGACTCAACAGATCTAAATTTTGCAATAATTTTCTTTGCAATTTAAGAAAATCTGATATAGTGACAAAATCAACAAATCAGCTGAAATATAATAATATAGTAGTTTCACTCTTCAGAGATACTTCGAACGAAGTAATTTAAAAAAAAAATTAGACGTGCAGCACAGTGAAAGCTGAAATGTCTAGACCTGTGCTTGGAATTGCTCTAGGATCACATGTCCAGGAAACTCAGGTTCTGGAATCGATGAGAATCGAGTAATTACATCTTGCAAACAGGCCAATCCGGCAAGGCGCAAATTAGTATTATCACTGGTTGCCCCCATAAATGACATCCGTACTAAATCGGACAAATGAAGAACTAAGTAATCGGCTCGACCACCAGAAGAAATCTGCAAATGTTCTTTCACAGGACAATTTGTGCTTTTTTGAAATTCTTCTATATTATTAATATCGAAAAATCCATGAAAATTACAGTGAAACTAAAAAACTAAGCTATCAGTAAATGTTTATCTAATTTGCAGAAATCACTGCAAAAAAATTTTTTTAGTGATATCTTTTTAACAAAAGCAGGAGCACATATCTACGTCATTTACCATTCCGTTTTGAAATAGCTTTAAAAAATAAATAATGTGCTCTGCAGTTAGTGAAATATAACTATGCATTTATTACAATTTTTCCATTCAAACATAATTTTGTATTCTTCTTGTTTGTTAAACCCACCTGCAATTCCTTAGCAAGAGCAAGGTCAAAATGTGCTCGTTCGGTCTCACAGACAGACATCACCCTTTGCACAAGCTCTGTAGCAAATACTCGACTTGGCCAGCGCGGTATTACTTTCATTTTCTCCTCTCGACTTACTACTGCTGCTGATTGCAGCGTTACGTCGTCATCGATGCTCTAAAGACACAGAAAGATAAAGTTTTATCTTCCAAGCATTCTTAATATTCAAAACAAATGCATTTTTCTGAATCTAAAGTCCACAAGACAAAACACAAAACAGCAGAAATCTTTTAAAATGCTCCATAAGAGCTTTCAATAAAAATCTATAAGTTCCACCTCATGCTCATCTTCCTCATCTTTGGTGCCACCGCTATCCTTCTCCTCAACCTGCATAGCACTTCGCACATCGGCACCCGCAGATGATGCCAAAATATCTTTACATAAAGATAACCAGTAGCTTAAAAAATCACTGCTTGCGGCTTGAACAAGCGAAATTAAAGTTTCCTGCAAATAACTTGGATATATGTATATAAGAAAACAATGATTTTATGAATTCAATAATAAAATTCTGACATTTGCCATTCATTCCAGAATAATGCAAAGCAGCAAAGAAGGACATTACTATATCAAAAATTTCATGATAAGATTGGAAAATAATCTAAACTAAATCAACAAAAATAAATTGAAATAGAAAATAAGCAGTACTCAATAACTTCAAATAATAACTGTATATAGGATTTAATTTTAAAAAAATCAGAATAGTGGAGTTAAAAAAAGCTTTGCTATTTTTTTCAGTATTAGCATTTTATTTAATATCTGACTTTAATTTCAGAAATTTCAGAAAAAGTAGCCTGATAAAAGTTCACTGGCTCAAGCAACACGATTCGCAAATATTAAGCAAAATGCTTGCATGTACAGTATCCTATAGCATTTTAAGAGCACTTATCTTAGTATCCTATTTGAAATTCCTTTGATCTGAAAGTTAAACATAAGATTATGTTATTCGATACATGAAACTTCACAGTCAAGTTTCATGTATCAAAGACCATAATCTTATGAGAAAGCTGAGCTGAAGTTAACATAATGTAATTTATCCCATCAATTTAATTAACTGCAGGAAACCGGTTTCCTTACTGGTTGAATTACGGCTATCTTTGAATTCGTTTTATGCTTCGCTTCTACGTTCTTTATTTAAAATGTATATGATCATGTATCCACATTTAGACCGCAGATGAAATCCAACTTATGTGTTGATGATACTCTTGCATTAAGATATTCATATTAAATAATGATGATGTCAGACGCAGAAATGCATTGATTAAGAAATTAAATAGTATATCTTTTTCACGCAAAATTAGCACCAAATTTAATAATGAGCACTGCGTACAACTATCGTTTAATTAACAACACCTTACTTTAATATCTTGTTTGAGTCCAATATCTCTTTCAACGTCGAGCATAGCCAGAAGAGCGCCTTCTAAACCAGTTTCTGGTAATCTTGACTCCACATTATTCCGTCCCATATTATTCATGATTCCCTGCGGCACAAGAGTTTGAGCGTGCTCACGCACTTCTTTCGCCTCACGTTGGACAAGTTGCCTTAGGCAACAAACAGATACTTTTCGCAAAATCAAATGTGGACTCGACAATAGCTTCTACAATATTCCAATAAAATCTCTTTAAAAAATCATAATTAATACGTCCACAGTTGTTTTAAAAAAATTTCAAATTCCGAGGTATTAATTATTTATATCTTGCGGTTATCCTCTCATGAAATTCACTTCACTAATAAAAGAAAATTGTAAAAACAGAAATTATGTCGATGGATTATAGATAAAAATGCAAAATATGATTAACTAACACAAAGTCGAACAACCAATCGATCAAGATGTACATGTCGGGGTGTAAAGAGATGAAGTTGCTGTAAACATGATATTGCTTCTGCCTGAACCAGAGAATCACTGCTATTCAACATCATAACACTTGCTATAATAATAACAAATAATCCAAGAAATGCGAAAAATTTTGCAAAATGAATGATAAAATCAAAAGAAACAGACCGATCAAGAATGATGTTCTCGTTCCTTCCACAGCGCCAACTAACTGTAACTCCGGTCCCATCGTGTTGATCAACGCAGACACCTACAATAATTTGTTTATTCTATTTGAATGTTTTTACTGCGCGACCAAAGAATATTAAACGTAATGCTCGGATGCAGTGACATAGTACGAAATCTATATTCAGAATTACCGTTCCAATGTTTTTCATTAAAGTTTTAGAATAAATCATTAAGTTAAATAATGAAAGAAGTTTATGAAAAAAACTTAACATTATTGCAAGTGTTAGCCAGATCTCTATAACAGAATTGAGATATATGAAATAGCTTAGGCAAGTTATACTTTCCACATTTTTTCATAATACAGTAATATACTGTTTTTTTACGCACTCTTTTTTTAAACTCATCTAAGCCTAAGCAAGCAATGTAAATAGCAAAAAACGCAAGAAGTAGTTTAGACTAACAAATCGCAATCGGACTAAATAGAACTTGAAACTTACGAATTTCCCAGTACATTGTATTACATCAACATTCGCAGGTGGTGTATCCAGTAACAATTTTAAACACAGACTTAAGCTTGGTTCAACATAACCACGAAACATTCCGCCACCGGTATCAGCAATCAAACCCAATGCAACCAGTGACCATGACTTGAAATATGAGAAGCATGAAATGGGATAAAATAAGAAGATTGAGAAAGATGAACAAAAAACATTGATTTTTTTTGCGAAAAGAGAATCAAAACTTATTCGGTGAAAACTAAAAACTCTATAACTGAAAGCATGTTAACAACAAGGCCAAGAACCAGCAACATTTAAATACCTCTTTTGTTAGAGGATCATGCAATGATACAGTGATATCGGAACCAAGATAGCCCGTTCCACACACCCTAAAATGAAATACGTACCTGTACTAAAGATGAAGTAGCATCTTGCGCCAAGGCTAACAGGATCGAAACACTAGTATTCAGGTGCTGACCACTGCCGAGAGACCCTACATAACGATGCAGTGAGCCAAGAGCTAGAGCAAAACCTGTTCTGTTATTAGCATCGCGACAACTTTTTAATTTATCAAAACTATACTGCGCCATGCTCGCCACAAACTGCAACTTAGAGGATGAATTATTGCAACTATTATTTTCCCACACATAAAATTCATATTTTTTCCTTACTGTAGATTAATGTGAATTCAGGAAAAATGCTGTCAACTCATGTTCAAAAGTTAATATATACTGCATTCTTAACTGATTCTTGTACTAGTAGAACTGATGATTTTAAAAACATTAAATCTCGAAGGCAATAAGTTCAATATCAAAATTAGCTCCTAAAAACTATATTTCTTATTCAGTTTAACTTCAAGGATTACAATCATTTTCATGATGCACAATTATTTTAACCGTCAACGTCTGATTCCAAAAAACGAAACTAAAAAACATCGGTAATTCTTCACCAAATAAAATTCTTTAAAAATAACTAACCTGAGCATCACCAACGGCTTGTGCCAAACGACCCAATGCCTCTGCTGCTGCACACCTGGAAGAGGAAAATAAGTGACCGACCTTAAAAAGTAACATTTCCAAGTGAATGGTAGGATAAAAAAAAAAACCTTATTAGGGAATTTGCATGTGACAGACATGGAATTATTAAATCAATATAAGCTTTCTGCAGTGCTTGGTTTTCCAAACGTAGACCTTTTTGTTCCGACACAGTTTTGAATGATGTAAGCAAACAGCCGAAAATATTCTTTTGTATCTGAAATCAGCGAACTGAGAACAGAATACCAATGATACCGACTCCTAATTAATTTCTAATAAAATCTGTGCTCTGTGCTGTAGGAAAATTCTGATCCTCAGATTTGCAATTTTCCTCTAAGCGAACTGGTTCCAAAAAATTTTATTTTTTGCAATCAAAAAACCATACTTTGGTTTTCTCATGTTTAACCATATCAGTTACTCCAAAAATGAAGCAATTAAAATCCGAATTTAATTTTGTATTCCAAATAATTTTGCATGATTTTTCTCTGTGAAGTACGAAATTTTAGAAAAATATTTCCAGTATTCCATCTTAAATAGAGAGCTTTTGTCATGAATTAATTAACGAAAAGTGCTGGAAACCAACCCCAATTTTGAAATTATTTGCTGCGATTCAAAAAAAAAAAGCATGAATGAAATATTACTGATTGCTGTCGCACTATATTTTTGGTTCCTTTGATACATTTAGCAAAGTGTTCAGCCATCTGCAGCTGATGTTTCGGTGGTGCAAATGGATATATTCGACCATATAAATTTATCGCTGCATTGATTACCATTACAGTGTGACACAATGGCTCAGGCCACCATAGGGCATCATCGACCGCAACTCTAAACAGTGTAATAATAATCAAACGAAAGAACCTACTGAATAATGCAACTCATGGAGGTATTAGCTTGTATAAATATTTAATAAAATGAACTAAGCTATTATTTCTTTATGCTTGCGTGAACAAAGACTTACTTTACAATACAAAGAGGATCATTATCGATGGTACCACAAGCAAAGTTCTGTGATGGATGCATCTAAAAGGAGAAAAATTATGCTGTTATTGAAATAAATTGATTTGATACTATCTACATTTTTAAGCGTCCGCATACTTGCAAAAGTGAACATAAATTACACTTAGTGCAATTTATGACTCATATAGTAAATGTGTAACATTAATGCACATATATGCAACTAAAAATTTTCATTCTGTGAGATATGAAAATTAATATTTGTATCCGAAACCCTAAAAGTGAGATGGATTTGTAAGAATTGAAAATGTCGCTTTTGAATAGATGCCTGATTTACTATTTTTAATGCTTTCAATTAATTAAATTCCACAGCAGTATATGCTTATCAAAATTTAGATTTGTCTGACGTTAAAATTTATTATACAGTCCAGAATTCAACGATCCTCAATCACTCTTGGCGCGAGCTTGAGGATAAAAGTGCGTCAAAAGAAAAATAGACCAGTATGCTACAGCTTTGAGCCCAAAATGTATCGGTTATATTCGTGGAGTTTCATTGAATCTAATGCAAACCTCAAGCTCAATAAAAGCCTCGTCTGTGTCATTCAGCCACGCACCAAATAATGACTTATCTACACCTGGACAAAGCGATGACAATATGGATGTAGTAGCAGTTGACTGCCCATTATCCGAAAGAGTTAAGTCCGCAACTAATTCACGCAGCAACGAAGCATATGTATCTGTAAAAATAAATTATTAAATAGCGACGAGAAGGGATGGTAATTCAAATTAAAGTTATATAGAACTGAAAAAAAAACTTACATTCATAATACTTCGGAGAAATATGATTGAGCAATTGATATATTCGAATACGTACAAATGTCATCAAAGTACGTAACTTCGTCCCAAAACTTCTGAGAAGCGTAGATATACTAAAACGAAAAAAAGATGTTACTCTTCAAATGATCCAAGGAATTTTCCAACAAGATGAGGACTTCTGAAAAATTACTGTGAAATGGTGACCAGCGAGCATTCCACAGCCTGAACGATCGTTCTGATGATATGATCGGTCATCAGATTTGGACAGTATTCTACAAACATAGCCATTGATGTCAAAGCACCAGCACGAGCTTCAAGAGTACACAACCATGTAAATGCATCACCACGATTTTTTTCAGTTTCTGCTTCCTTTACTGATCGCGGAAACGAACTTTTCCACAACGGTAAAAGACGTCCCATACAATCTTGTACAGTAGTTCCATCTGGAAAGCAGACTGCTAAAAAGACAATTTGAAACGAATTTATGCGACATAATCCAAAACCAGAAACATACTTAAACAACATTTAGAAACGCAATTACCAAGTTTAAGGACAGCAGCAATAAGAATCCAACCAGCCCGTGATTTAACTTGTGCCAAACTACTTGTTTGTGATGCTGTTCTTATCATATCTTCAGCGACTGTAAAAACTTGCCTGAAATTATAGAAGTAGATAGAATCGTACAAAGTTTCAAATTCCTTGCGACACTTTGGAAAAGAATTAGAAACAACTAAAATCCATTCTTTTAATTAAATAAGCCAAAAAATAATAAAATCTATTTCAGAAAGGTTGGCGAACTGTAGATCAAAATCAAAAAGGACCAATGAACAAAATGACACATTTTATGGCACATTTTATTCATTGATTCTTTCTTACATTTTTAATTTTTTGGGTGATTTCTTTGACTGAAAAACATAACCTCGATTTGGCATGCGGAATGCCGAGCTTACATTCCATCGAACTTACAAGAAGAGCACTTAGCGCAAACGAATAACCACTGACTGCATCACCACAGCTCTTCATATGTTCCAATCTATAAAAAGAAATTGACAAAGATTCTAAAATTTTCTAGACATTCACATAAATCTCTGGTGCATTAAAGTACCTGTTGATACAGCGGTCAATTAGAGGAGTCAACTGTGACGGAACGCTAACAGTTACACATCGCAAACACCATGAAGCGGCTATTCGAGCAGCTTGGATTGGATGCAGAAGGCAAGCGAAAACGGGTTCCATTATACCTGTCATTAAAATTTTAACTACAAAACTTTTGAAATTCTATCTTTTGATCATATAAAATCAGTTGTAACCAGGATTAACAACATTATAATATATATAAAGCAATGAATAACCCAAAAAACTGTTCTTTTTTAAAAAATATTGAATCAAGCTTCAATTAAAAGTAAATAAATACCTGATGCCTCAGTGAAAAGAGGTGTCACTGCAGTACCAATTTGCCGAACTAAACATGAAATCTCAGACAAAATTACAATTGCTATTTGTGCGCTAGCATGTGCTTCAGGTCCAAGTATTCTTTCAGCTCCAGGATCGACGTTGTAATCAGCTGGTAATTTCAATTAAAACTCATTTGCAAAAAATTTTATTACGGACTATTATTAGTAACCAAAATTATCCATATCAATGGACATTACCAAAAGTACTTATTATGTGTTTTGCAATTTATCTACTCTGGAAATTTAATTTAAAAACTTTGAAGACATTTTTTCAAAGCTTTTCTTAACATGTTCTTAAAATACCGTAAATTTGATTAGTTAAAATTAAAGCAGTTACTAACCGAAAGAATTAATATAATCGGCTAAAATTGCACCCAGCTGTCTGCAAACGGCAATTTGCGCTTGCTCACCCAGAATTGTACCAACAGTACTCCGTAATATGTAACCAATACACCGTCGCATGTAAACCACTTCAATAGCTTGGAAAGAGTTGCTGAAAACAAAAAAAGCGAATTACGTTTTAAATCCTTCTCTCACTTCTTGGAATCCTTAGGTTTATCAATGTGACTTAAAGAGAACTATATAATTATTAAAATCATCAAATATAAAGGGTTACTTCGTATAAGCTAACGGCGCGCATTTTGCAATGATATCCATTAAATGTTTAATAACAACTGCAAGATTCCGTTCCAACCATAGTGGACCAAGCTCTCTGAACAACGCAACATAAGCCTAAAAGCTCGGAAATGTTAAATAATTCAAAAAGTAAATTTAAATTTCAGATTTGAAATTTCAAACTTTTCTTCTCAAAAAAACTATATCGACATACAAGCGCAACTCCAATTCGTATTTCTTTTTGTCCACCAGTAACTGCAACAGTACTTGTTTTTAAAAAGCCACCAATGCCACCCCTTAAAAAGCCATGCAACAGAATACCGAAACAATCCTCAATTGTTATCGCTTTCACGGACGATGCATTGTGTTGATTTTTACTTCCTGTAACTGTAAATAAGTTCTGAAAATACTAGACATTGAAAAAATAAGTTTAAATAAGATTGAAACAATATTCTCTATGGTCTTCATAATTCATCAGTATTGTCTGCCCATATTTTTACAGCAAAATGTTAAGTGTCAAGCAATTTTTGAACAGTTACAAATAATTGATTGAGGCATACAACTGACTGCAACAGCGCAAATAATCTTCACTACTATGATAAGAAAAAAATCCAAAAAAATCAAAAATCAAATATATGTAGACAGAGAATAAATAATTTACCAGACATGTACCGTCTTGGAGGATTCATAGCAGTGCACAATAATGCAGCAAATAGTTGTGCCACTGCATGACGTACTTCATAATTACTTGATTCAAGAGCCTTGAAACACAGTGTACCAATACTTTCCACTTCGTTCGTATACAAAAATGGATATTCTGGGATCAATACAGTAAGACACTAAAATTAAAAAAATTTTATCCTAGCAGAAATAAATGAGCTATGAAAAAAACGAAATGCAGATGTTTCAATGCATATGCATGGAGACAAGTTAAACCATATCAAATTTTTTTTTCTTGGTGCAAAATATAAAGTAAAATTTGTGGTTAATCAATTAATGAACGTATATGGTCAAACAGTGATAACATTATACAAGTGAACCCAAAATTTATCCATATAACTGATAAAAAAAACAAAGCTAACATTAATTGCAGCCACTCTAACGATCATAACCCGATCTGACATGTGTGTTTTTAGAATTTTATACAGATCCTTGTGAATGGAAGATGCACCAACGCCTAAGCCTTTCACCATTTTAGCGAATGTACACAGTAATTCGGCGCGTCCTTGCGACTAAAAGCCTTATCTTTCAAAAAGTTAAAACCTACATTCTACCACACTTTCATAAAGTTCTTTGTAAAATAAATACTCCCTCCCTACCAGGGGTTCCACGAGAACCACACACTCCCTCACCTCAAGCTTCGTCAATGTCAGGTCAATGCCGACCTATGAACATCGCACATAACCTCAGAATAATTAAGTTTCCACAAATGTCTTTCGGAAGACCGTCGTGTTTCTCCTCACAGGTTATGCATAGAAATGACGGTTAGATATCCCACATACTCGAACCTTTTACTTACTAACGTTCGCATGCAAACCAACCCAATTGACCACTCGACCCCTTGACACGCTCTTTCAGTAATATAACCATTAATATGTTTAACCTCTGCATTTTTCAACCATCTCGACATATGATGGAAAGATTCTTCATAACTTCGACCTACCAATCTACCTAATGCTTCATACATTGCTCCCAAGCATTGCAAAGCAGCCCTAAAAAATGACAAATTTTTAATTTATTTTTAATAACTTACCATATCTACATGTACTTGAAAATTTTAGGACTGATACTATACTGTTATGAAAAACTATTACATAAACGACTTGAAAAGATTGTTTTAACCTCAGTAATAATATAAATCAAAGTAAACTAACAGTTTGACTGAGAGATGTGTGGGGGAATCATCTCGTCCTTTTAGAATATCATTACAGGTATTTATTGTTTCAAAAAGACTATATGTGTCTCCAACTGAATATATCTGAAACTTTAAGTAGTGTGTATATATAAAGGCATATTTTAATTTTTTGGGTGGCAGTAGAATAAATACCTGTGCAATACATTTTGCCAATAGTTCCCTGGTGGGTGGTCCTGGTGCAGTTAAAACGCGTGATGTCAACTGCTCAATAAGCTTCTTCTGTACAGTTTTTATATCAGTCTGAAATTACATTAACATCTAAGTAGCGATTCTTTCACCTTCAAAATACTGAAAATTTAATATAGGAATATGTGAGCTGAGCTCTGAGTAAAAATTATTAAGCGGAAAAAATGTATGTATATTTAAATAATAAGGAACCTTTTGTGCAGCGGGTAATATGCGGTCAAGATACCGCAACCATTCATATACAAAAACAGGTTTTCTGGAATCTGTACAAAGATTCAGCGCCTCCTCATTTAAGAGCAATGAATTTGACTGCTCCATCATCTCGGCCAAAACCCCACAGTGTCATGTACTCTTGAAAAATTTATGCAAATAATGACTCTCATGCAAGTAAGGTCAGTGATTGTAGTTATTTTCGAAAATGCGTATACAAATGTTCTCGCAAAATACAACCAAAACACCGGTTGCCCCAGTAATTATATCACTCGGTAATGAGTCAAAATACAATACAAACACCAATAACTTCAGAAAGTCAAACCTGACCTAATCGGCTCACAGTAATTGTAATGTTCAAGATAGATTGTACGCTAACTTGATAATACCAAAACCGTCTCTAAAATATAGAAACTTACCTATCGTCCACATTTCTTTTGATATCAGCAATTTTAAATCATTATTTTTAATTATATATTTCAGAAATAAGCAGAGAAGCTGGATAAGACAATAAACGAAATTTGACATTAAAATATTTTTTATTTGAGAAACAAACAAGAAAGTGCAACAATCACAGATCCTCAGAAGTGGAATTTAAACATGAACAAAAGAAAAAAATTCAGGCAAAGGCAAAAAACACGCTGAGAAAAAAGTTGAAATGTAAAGAAAAATTCAAACATCTTATATTGTCAATACATATATAATCACACAAAACCACAAATATTTCAGATTATGAAGTGGAAACAATAGATTTTAAAACAAGAAAAACAACCAGTGGTCGATACTTCCACATAAATTTGTAAGTAATGAAAAAATGAAAATAAGAAACTACGATTTGATGCAAAAAAGTTTGCGACAGATATAGTCAGCAATAGCCGTTCAATCTGTTCGAAAATATCCCTATGGTATCACAACTCAAATATTTCCCTAATTGAGCCACTAATTTCAGACAAGTGAAAAATTTTCTTAAAATCTGTTAATGAAACATTTTCCTCTTTAACAGATCTCTTTCAAAATGTTCAGCTGTCATTGTGCCAGGCAGTCGTTCGCAATGAGGATTGAATACGGAGTAGGCACTCAATTCGCCCGACTTTCGCCTTCCCAAGTTGATAAATAAAAAGACAAATAATGAGGAAACAAAAAATACAAGACCAAATTCAATGTAAGCAAAATACAACTGAGCTATAAGCCATGACGATAGTGTAACAATTATGGATGAACGTGGATAATGATGATAGAAGCATAACCACAACGGGACTGGTTTTAGCAGAATATTTACAAATTTTGTGATGGTAGTAGATTGAATGGCTATACTCCCATTGGTGGTAGACTGCTCTTCATGAATTTTATCACGATTTGGAATCTGAAAAGTTTTTCAGTAGAATTAAAGTTCCTATAATTTTTTCAAAAGAACTACAAGGATAGTTCTTCACTCTTGAAATGCATTCAGAGTGACATTTAAATTAACTGCACTATTATGAAAATCTATTTTGTTTACTCTTTTTTTAGAGAAATCAGTTATTTTTGACAGTACACACCAAAATGATTTTGAAGAATACCACTAATTAACATGTGTTACACTTAACTTCTTTCTTCTTTATGGATTTATGAGCGAAAAAATTCAATCCTAATTAAATTCAATTTCAACTGTTTAAAATAATTAGATGAAGTTAAAAGAATTCTTCTACTGATAATAAACACATAATGATAACCTTACTGTTATCACAAGCTGCACCTTGTTTTCTTCGGTATTCAGCTAATCTTCTTTCCACACTTTTCATCCTTCCTGCTCCCAGACAGCTGAAAATCCACAAGGGTAACAACACCAATAACTTAAAACCAACAAAAGTAACACACTCCCACCCCCTTAACGCCCACTCACGAGCAGTTCCAATATAACCGATGGAAGCGCAGTCACAGCATGAAAATCTCCCATCCTCTTCACTAACGTCACGCATTTTAAACTGTTCGAAGTGAAGTGATTAGTAAATGTGTGGGAGGAGGAGGTCATTTTATATATTCCACTCCTCCTCAATCTCTCCATACAATAAATCACGTGGGCAAGTTATAAATGTGGAAGTTTAAGTTTTGGAAAATGATAAAATACACAAAGGTCAGTTGTGGCATATGAATTATGCTCGCTCGGTAATAATTTTTAACAGTAAAAGTTTAGCGATGATATTTATTTTAAATGTTATGATTTGCAACGGACGGCCGTATTTGGTGAGAGTTATAGTTTCAAAATTGACTGGTGTTGTTTGAACTAGGCCATAATTTTGAACTTACTTATCCAACATCCAACAGTGTTGGATTTATTGACTTTACTTACTAGAACTTTCAGGAGTTTTTGTTCATTATAACTTTTAAGAGGGAAGAAGATGGATGATTTATGTTTCAGAACTAAAAAATGCAAAATATACGCGGTCGAGCTCGGATGTTGGGACGACGCCATGCTCGGGTGCATTTCAATTTGGGTAACAGGCTTAGGTCATCATCCGCACTACATGAAACTTTCCCGGAAGATGCAACACGTGACTCTATGTTAAAGCAGATTTTAGGTTAAATGTTGAAAACTTCATAATCAAATGTTAACAGGAATTTTTTTACTTTCTACGCTTTATAGATTGGAATGGAAGAGATTTAGATTTAGAGGGAAGGAGAAGGATAATTGGAATCAATGGCTAAAATTAAAAGTATGAAGTTACAGTGTTTAGCCTCAGTAATATTTTTCTAATTTCATAGAAAATTAATAATATTAATAATTAGAAAATATATCTGAGAGACACTTTAATCCAGCCTTGTGCTTTAAGACCAGAATAGTAATATCTAAGAAATCGAAAATAAAATGCTGATTTGTGTAAAGTAAAGTAACAATAACAAGTGATTTATATGCAAATAAATCACTTGTTATAGTTACTCCACACGATTTATTAGCAAGTGAAGATCCAGAATTCCTCATTGCAGCTCGTATCAAAAAGTCGGAAAGAGAGTTAACCACTTGTAGAAGTCGAACAAATGAACTATTAAATGTAACAATTTATCACATTCTGTTCTTCATACGACAGATGAAATTTCGTTCAATTTCCGATGCTTCAAATCACTTCTGACTACTGTCCTTTCGCAGTACAATTTGGGATGTGCAACTTGCTCTTACCCTTACTTGTATTTTCTAAGTGAATTATTCTTCATCGAAGTTAAAAGAATCACATATTTTCTTCTTTCGTAATTGATTTTTTTTTCCTCCCATGTCCGGTCTTTTGATTATTTCTCTAAACTTTTGTTTAATTTGAATAAATGATTACTCCCAACTCATTTGTCGCTTCGTTTATTGGGATATGAAATGTTTGAACTGCTTATATAATTTCTATCAAAGTGAAACAAAAAAGTATTCATAGATCCAAGAGGATTCATTGACGACCGCTCGAATTAATCATGAGCGATATCTGCTCGATGATCTAATTGATTATGTTGAATCTTTGATTGGCGATAAAATGAACTTACAGACTGTGGATAAAGTACTGCTTGTTGTTAGTAATATGACAGTATGATATGAAAATAAGTAGTGAATTTTTAATCTAACAGTATTTTTTTTTTCTTCAAAATTATATAATCCTATACGATGTATTGATTTAAAAAGAATATGCTGGTATGGGGTTATTCTTTACTAGAATATACAATTAATTTATGAAATTAATATAAGAATGCTTTTCAATTTTCAGGATAATCAACGATGGTATGCAAAACGGCTTAAGCGTGGTTTATTAAATTGGATTGCACGCAATGAAACAGAGCTTAAAGAGGTTGTATTTCTGATTTTATCAATAGAAAAATATGAACTGTTATTCATATCTCTCTATTGACAATATCTGACTATAAAAGTTCTCTTTGGTTTTTCTTTTTTATTGCAATTTCTAAAAATTGTTCAAAGTTTACTCGAAGATGAAATTCACTTATAATTAAAGATCGATGCATTGGAAAATCGAGTTATGAAGCGTTATTTGCAAATAAGCCATGAAAATAAATACCTGCAACGCATATTCCGAGATATGAAATACTTCACAAATGCGACCAGTGATAGTTTCAAAACTATGGAGATATCATCCGAGCCAACATTTACTAACACAAGCAAAACACAAAGCTCTCTTACAAATGACGGAAATGAAGAAAAAGGATTTTAAAAGTGATAAGTTATAGCGTTTAGCCTTGATAATATTTTCGATCATTAATGAAAACACATCTGAGAGATATTGCTAAATAATATCTAAATCCAACCTTGTCACTTAGGACTACAGTACTAATATCCAAAAAATTGAAAATAAAATGCGAATTTGTGTAGAGTAGAATAACAGTAATAAGTGATTTATATATAAATATATATAAATTTCCCTGAATTCGAGCTGTCGTTGCATTGTACAACCAACGACAATACCGCATTTTTTGGCGTGGTAATTTATAGATAAATTTAGTGACGTAATTTGTTGAGGAATTCTACTGATAATCAATATTTGCTAGCAAAGGAATTTTCTTCTTGCGTAGTAAAAAGCTGAAATGAAATAAATTTCTTTTCTCCTCTAAATGACTAAATCATAACATTTCGAAACTGTTAGTGCAATTTAAAGAATGTAAGATGATTGATCGATGTTAAGAGTGACCGTTGTGTGAAGCGCTCATTTTTCTTTTTGTTCCATTTGTAACAACGAGAAAAAAAGGGAAGTTAAGCAGACAGTTTTGGATATTCAAATCTTCTCAACAAATGACATGAAAATGAATCCAAATAAGATCACTTGTGCATGTGAAATGAAAAAGAGTTTATGAGGGAAAAGTATGATTTTGGAAATTTGAAATATCGTAGCATAAAGTTTACGAATTTTAGATATTTTGTAAAGGGGGAATAAGATAGTATTTTTTTAGTTGTCTTGTTTCCCCTTCATAAAATATCTAAAACTTCGTAAAGTGTTTAAAACAACTGTTATATACATATAACGCTGTAAATTCTTCTATATTTTATCCGACAATTGAATTTATGCCTTCATTTATTCGATACATCATTCAAATGTATCGGAGCAGAACAGGAAATACTGGTAAAATGAGAACGTGGTTAATAGAGAAATCGAGTTACAAAGCGTAGAAGATGGTTTTTGAGTGCCTTGTCGATTAGTATTACAGTGATGATTTCGACGATAACATAGTTCATAACATTTATTGACTTGATAAACTTATATTGAAAAATTTGATCTTCAAGACTGGGGTCAGTGTCCTCTCACTTTGTTCAACGAAATGAAAAATTAGAAAAAAATGAATTCTTCATAAATATGTAGCATGCATTTTCATTTCATTAGA